ATGCATACTCCGAGATTTCATACAGTATCACACTAGCGACTAACTAGTTGAACTAAACTATGTATAAGAAAAATGAGAGTAAAAAAAAACAATATCAAGTATCAAAGGTCAATGGCAAAAATAGTTGAAAGACTCTAGCTTCGTGGCGAGGAAAACAATTATTTTCTATGCTATTATTTAATCACTGATAATGTAATCTATGTTAAATATGTCCGCGCGTACGTGTACATTGCGCCGCGCCCGCGTGTGCTTAACGAAGCTTCATGGAATTACATAATAGCAATTATGCAGAACGCACGACGACTGCATTTCTTATCTGTGAGTACTAGATTTTCCATGTCCAAGTATTTCTCGCTGGAGATTATTTCCTCCCCCCCCCCCCCCCCCGACTGTCGCTATCGATTGAATCGCATTAATTGGACGTGTCGCCGATGTACACGGGCACGCGCGGACAGACGTGTACATATATATAGAATGAATTGCAAATAAAATATTACAAAGCGACGCGCGTTCTACCAGTGAAGTCAATCGCGATAAATCGTATAAGTAGCGGAGAGAACAATTTCAAGAGAAACAAGTATTAAGGTTAATCACGTAGTGGGAAAAAAGTAACGACGTCTCTATGCTGAAGTCGGCGAAAATAAGGCGAACGTTTGTATATTTCGTCAATAGATTTCCACGCGCGTTACGGCGCGACTAACACGTAAACGCCTGCGAATGTACTACTCTGATTTCTCGGTCGTGATGAGTTACTGGCGAGTGTTACAATTAGGGACTTCAATCAGCGTCAAAATCCGTTAATTCGTTGCCGCGGCGGTTAGCTCGGCTCTGCGATAATTATATTTTGCGGGGAGTTTTTGTGTTACCGCGTGATAGAAGGTAAATGCGAAGGAAATGCATCAAACGAAATGTAAAATTAAAAAAAGATCCGCACAACACTTTCCTCGCGTGCCGTAAAACATGATGACGCTCGTATTTGTAGAGCAACAAAAAAAAAGAGATAATTAAACAATAGAGTTTCTGGGATTGTTTCTAGACGGCACTTGTACGCTGATAAAATGTTAACTTTACTTTCGTAATGATCATTAATGAACAGATATTAATATAATTTAGTGCCTTCGCTGCTATTTATTCTAAGAATAAATACTTTGGTGCAATTAGCATTGCCTGTTCAAGAAACTGATTTCTCCTCGTACCATCCTATGACTCGTGTAAAGTTTTCTTGGATGTGAGTGTACTATACTGTACTACAATTTTGTGCGTAGGTTTTTCTACAAGTAATAGTGAAGACATAGACGGAACTTTGTTTTATTAGTTTTGTAGTGCAACAGAAGCGTGTGAGATAAAATGATTAATACACGGATTTGATTAATGCGAAACTGTTTTCTATTAATCCTTCTTCTGAGTTGATTCGATACTTGACGAAGCTTATTTAAAAAAAAAACATTTAAACTTGAAATATCAATAAATGCTCTAAAATCTGGGTATACCTGAATTTGACGTGTACTGCAAAACAAACGACTGCGCAAACGTTCTAATTTTTAAAATTGTATTCAACTTTCACGCATTTATGTACTTATTCGTTTAACATAACTTACATATACAATTATATGTCTGTACCTTGAGCTACGAAAGGGTGTTTCTGGGACACAAAAGAAGAGACACCTGTGTACTTTCCTGAAAAATTTGATGGCAAGTATGCAGCAAGCGTGTTTCACGTGAAAGAATTTGCTTTCAAAGTCTCCGCGAACATTTCGTTTCTTCGTTTATCGGACAAATTCACTGCAGCGAAAAAAAAAGCGGTTATGTCGAAGCTCGCAATCAATACTGATATGTAATACATACGATACTTGTCATAACAGCGAAATCATGATTATCATCGCAAACACGCCGTATTGATTGCGTTGCGGAACATCATGGGACGATAAATCGATTCCAGAATTTATTCCACTCCGAATTTATCTATCGAGATTGTATACAATTACAGCACTATCCTTGTTATGTTTTAGGACATATTAATTTTAAGATTTTCCTAAATAAAGAAACATCGGCTTCCGTAGACATTACGTTTACGCTGTATATTGCGTTATATTATGTATACATATACACTAAGTGTTCTCTCATAGAATTATTTCAATCCAAATTTAATTGCACTACAAACTCACGAAATAGCAAATTTTGTCTTGACAAACTGATGGAAACATAAAATCACGGACCCATCGCTTTTCCGTGCACCGAAAAGCGTTTGACTAACGTAACTCCAGTTTCTCTTCTTTCTAATTCAGATTTCGATAGCATCGCTTGCTGAGGACCATGCATTCACACGTCTCTATAAAATCGTAAATTTTATAAAAAGGAGATATGTTAAAAATAAACTGTAACGAAAGAATAGAGTCGCATAGAAATTACTAGCTTTTTAAGCCGTTTTTAAAGAGGTAATTCTATGTAAAATATACAATTATGTTGAAAAAAAATGTCAATTCACCTAGTTTTTTTATTCACCCCGAAATATTTCTATACCAAAATCTAAATCAGTTCTTTATGTAGCGATAGGAAGTGATAAACCGAACCGATTAGTTTGGCAAAAAACAAATTACATCGTAATAAACGAATCCATGGTCTTTAGATTGCAAAGCTCTCGAGCAGTCTAATAATCCTATGAAAAACGAGTCAAAAGTCGCTCCAGATAAGAACGCGATGGCGATTCAGCGATTAGGTGCCCGCGTATTCGCGACCTTTATAAAACAAGAGATTGCTCTGCGTACGATTTAAAGCTTGGGGAAACGAGAGTGCCGAATATTGCGTGTGTATAGTAAATTGTGCGATATTCAAACGAGGACGACGACGACGACGACGACGACGACGGCGACAACGACGGTGACGACGAGAACGAAAATGTCAAACTAGTTTATTGTAAATTACCGCTCAGAAACGAGAACGAATGGGAACTGAGTACCTATGTACATTGAATATATATATGGGTATATATCCGCGTGTACAGTCGAAGCCCAATGTAGTATGTAAATAAGCCAAGCGGACAATACATGAAAGAGAGAAAGACAAAAAGAGAGAAAGAGAGCGAGAGCGAGAGAAAGAGAGAGAATGCAGCGATGAAAAAATGGAAAAAAAAAGAAGAATGATGTCGCGCGTTGCAATAAGCCGGCGGAGTTCGCAAGGGAGAAAGCTTTCGATTCCAGGCACAACACAAGATTAATTAACTCGCTGTTAACAAGTGTCGTGACGAATGATCGGACTGATGATGTAGCATAATAATACCAACCTCTCGTCTCGGGCGAGACTTTTCTCCGCGTGCGAACGAGCCGATCCTGTTGACGACTGGTGAAAAAAAACAACAAAAGAGATAATAATAATTGAAAAAAAAAAAGAGCTTTATAACAGCCACTTGAGGGAAGAATTGAACGACCGTGTATTATACAAACAAAAATTGAACGGCCGGCCACTAATCGATAGATCGGTAGGCTTTGGAGCCCCAGTCTCGATTAATTAACGCAAATGTATGCGTCAACGTCGCGTCGGGTCGGTGAAATTGGCGTCAACCGCTCCACTAAAATATCGTATCGGTGTATATCGAGAATAATAATAATAGGGAAAAGAAAACGGACTTGAATTCTTATCGACGGGCGCTCCGATATTTCGCTGGGAAGTGCGAGAAGCGCGGTAGCCGGCATTTTAACAGAACTCTCACGTCTCGCCGCTGCTGTGCCCCTTTACATTCAGTCTTAATCAACAGCGAAGGCGTTTATCGATTTTACAACGTAGGCATCTTAACACATAGGCGTATACGTACTATTGCGACGCGTAAATCAGTCGAGATTATATACCATAGGACGCGACCGGGACTTGGCGGACACAAAACAGCAAAAAGTGATACAACCTGTAACGAAACGTCTGTTATACATTGTGTATCGAAGAGAGAATTGTATCGTATGTGATCGTTGATGACGTTAAATGCACACTGGTCGTAGCGATGATATTTTTTATCGAAAGTGCTCAGCAAAGTCTACTGACCCATATTGACTCACTCACTGACTCGCTCACTCACTCTATCACTCCGATCACTCACTATCCCACTCTCACTACAGTATATATGTTACGAATATGTGCTTTATATAGTTTAACAAAAAATAAATTATTTCAAAAATTTACAGCGTCTAACGTCCCCCCCCTCCCATTTCCAGTGTGAATGTTTCTCTCTTTGTGCGTTTGCCAGGATACGTGCGAGGGGGAAACCGCTGAGGGCATTGTGGTGTACAGATTTGCGGCATTACCGGGCATTACTAGGGCATTTTTGGGGCATTACGTCTTGCTAAGGCATTATAAAGATAAAATAAGATAAAATAAGATAAAACAAGATAAATAAGATAAAAGAAGATAATAAGATAAAGTAATGCCCACTGCACACAGAAAAATATTATTGTACAGTCAAGAAAAGTAATTACTCAGTTTATTTTATTCCGTTTAAGTAATAGTTTGCTCCAACAAAGAACATTTTCTTAATAATAGTTTTAAGATATACTTGTTACTAGTCTTAGAAAAGCTTGCCATCTTATACTCAAAGAAAGAATTTATTCTTCTTTGAAGAAAATTAGAAAACTTATGGAAGAATTCCGTATGCTTCTTTTAATAAAGTCAGAAGAAACAAAATTGTTTTGCTTCAAATAATTCTATGTATTCTTGTTTCAAGTACTAGACTTACTAAGAACCAGAATATATTTTGAGTAAATATCACACTTGCGACGACATTATGATAGATTTGCGGATATATAAACTTATCAAATACTTGGAACAATTAATATTTACTTGCAGGTAGTATATATTTTTCTGTGTGTGGGCATTAGTGGGCATTGGTGTACAAGATTTTGGTCAGCGGTTTCCCCCTCGGATACGTGTATAAGATAACGTATATTTCATGATCGAAAGAGATTTATTGTTACAAACGTACCAAAATCTTTGGAGGCAGATGAGTAAGTTGTCAACAGTTGGCTTGATATATCAATTTTAATTCAATAACTACAACTCTAAAAGTGATGGATGAAAAATTGAGACAAAACAATGGAAATCTTTGTTTAATGCAGCTGTTTCTCTCTCGTCGACGTTAGTTTTCCGTATGATATATTGCTACATCATTTCTCAACAATATTTGGCTCTTTCGGTATATATTTTTAAACTTAATATGTCCCTATACAGCAACGTAATTATATTACATTGGATATCGATACAAGAGTATCTTTTATAAACGGCAACAGAACGGAACTTAAGGAATGAGTAAGTCTGTTATCATTCTTGCTTCTTGTATCTCGTGGCTGCTTTTGTTCTCGCGAATCATCTCTAACTCGCGTATCAGAGCCATCGCAGCCTCGACGCAGTCATCGGTCTCCTCCGCAACAGACACAACCGAAAATTCGTCTTGCAGAAGATGCAATATTATGTTAAACTGATTGACAGATCTGCAATCATATCGTCGGTAACGTAAATCTACCTTTGCACGTTTTATAGCAAATCACGATGCGAGGAAAGCGTGTGTCCCGCACGTCAGCGATCCGTTTACCTGGCAAAGATCCTGATAGTTGCCTTGTCGGCATCGATCGATTGTATCTCGACCAAACAGTACATCAGGGAACCGTGTTCCTTCACCCAGAATACGTTGTCGCGAATCTTTATGAATATCTTCGCGGTGAAAAAGCGAAAGAGTTGATTGCCGAACCCGGTTTGATCATCTTGACGGCTTGTGAATTGAACGTTGACGATCCTCTCTATGGCAGACGTGCTTTTCAGGGCTAATATCGCACCATTGTCGTTCTCGTCCAAGAACTTTATACACGAACGATCGATCGTTTCGCCGATGGAGAGGTGAATAGGCGGCACTGGGACTTGGAATTGTGTCTCATTGATCTCGTACGAGATTAGACCCAAGCACTTGACGACAGGTCCCTGATCGAACATCGGTAGATCGAGCACCAGTGTCGCCACGACGGCTCCGGGTTGGATCGAATGGACCTTTTCCGTGCATAAGGAACGTTCCCCTTTCCAGAATGTCGACTCGCCGAAACTCTCCTCGTCCCGCGTAGGTAACATGTGCGGATAATATCTGGGGTTGAGCAACGTGCTGCAAAGAAAACTTGCATAATCGCGTTCTACGCTATTGACAATCGCGCCTAAAGACTCCTCTTTTTCAACAGGCAGTTTCCAACTTAGTTTTTAGCTCGTGTGCATACTGGTATAAAATATCTTGCCGCTTGTAAAGACTGTCAAGTTCGTGGCGCGTAAATTATAACAAATATTGTTGCCACGGCATTTAATGTTCATTCTGTGTCAAATGTAATAATGTAAATCAGAGTCGAGACTCAATCTGTTGAAAGTTCAATATTTCTAAATTGTCATCTCGTTGCAGAATGCACTTAAATAATAAAAGTTTGTTCGTAAAAATTGATTTTAACTCTCGTAAATTTCTATTCTCTATCTCTCTAGTTACAAATTTATGGTAATAAAGTGTCTTTGCATCGTGGTGTGATGTCAGGATTTGTTGGGAGAAATCATTCTTGGAAAGGAGGTGTCTCGCGCTTTCTACGGGAAGAGTCAATATTGATGTCAAAAACGGGAAAGTTGCGTCATCAGCTAAATATTTCTAAAATTGAGCATTTGAAAGTAAAAAGAAAGTAAATCGAGTATCGGCGTTTAAGAGTGTGTGAAGAAAATATCTCTTAGGGCCAGTTTCACAGACATCGGTTAGCTGCTAACCGAGGGTTAATTGATTCTCTGTCTCTTCTTAAATAATAAGATGGAAAAAGATAGGGAGTCGACTGAGCCCTAGCCAACAGTTGGCCGATATTTGTGAAACTGGCCCTTAGTCAATCTCTTAGTTAAAATTCGTTCGTGTGTCACACGATATTTGCCTCGTTCAACGATGATAATGCACGAAATGCGTATGCGCGATGAATACTTTTATGTATTCAGTAACGCGTTTAATGAAAACCTCTGATGTTACGTAACGTGCGTAATGTACACGGAAAAAAAAGATTAGCTGCCATAGCTAAAACGTAGTAAAATAGGGACAACTAATATTTTTAGTTGTGATAGCTAAATATTTTGCTACTGTGCCTATTGTATTAGGTGCGACAGCAAACCGTTTGCTGTCGCACCTAATACAATAGGCACAGTAGCAAAATATTTAGCTATCACAACTAAAAATATTAGTTGTCCCTATTTTACTACGTTTTAGCTATGGCAGCTAATCTTTTTTTTCCGTGTATGCATATTGCATAGTGCGAATGCAAATCGATGCGAGCTAATCAAAGCGGCAAACAGTCTACATTTTAATTAATCTTGTTTGAATATCAATCCACGACGATCAGCAGGCTGGGGGACAAAAAATGGTAGAAGAAATGCGTCGTACTTAAACTGACAGATTTATTGCCCGAACAGATTGAGATATCGATACGAGAGTAATCGAAGACGGACTACCATTGGTCCGTACCACTTATTGTTAGGGAAGAAAAATAAACCAGCTCGTCTTTCGTTATTCAAACAATTCGATCGAATCTTTAATTTTTTTTTTGGCGTTTCCTGCAAGATATGTGGACTTAATTCTGATATTTCCTAATCGACACCATTATGTTATAATATTCCTGCTACTATTATCACATAGAAACATTGCGAAGATGTTCCTCCCCCTCCGAAAAAAAGAAATCAGGTCATGCACAGATAATGCGATTGTGCCAAGTTGGCGGATATGCACGCGCGAATCGACCTTGAATGCAACGCTTACATCGGCATTATCCATGCAAATCGACCCGCGAACAAAGATATTAATCGCGATGTTCCTGCAAAAGTATAATAACGCTATATCAACGGTGATGGAATAATTTTATTATGCAAATTGCGGCTTATAGGCAATGCTGATATAATATGCAAAATTCATTTTCTTTTCTCGTCGTTTCCCCTTTTTTTTATGAAATCCAAATTGCACGCGATATTTTACGCGGCCCCCTCTCTCTCTCGTTACGCGCACAGGTTGCTTCTAGCAAGAACCATATTTACAGCGAGTTAAAAGGCGAGGAATTAAAAATTAATTAGAAATTTCTTCATATCGGATACATTTGAAGAACAAACGCCGTTGGCTAATAAACGTGAGAACACGGGCGAAAAAAAGTTTCTCCGATTTCATTATTTTTCGTCGCAATCTTGTGCGTTCTCTAATCTACTTTTCAGCCTGTTGCTCTCTAAATTGAAATATTGTACCGCCGCGGAAGTTTCGTCGAAGAAATCTGCGGCCGACGCGCGACGTCTTGACGCAATCTGGCATAGCTATTTTCACCTCATCACCGCTGCTGAGGGAACCGCTAAAAATTTCTTCGAGTGGAAAGCCAACCGGAAGTCGGTTGGTTGAAGGAATTTCAAGTGCCAGAACAATTCAACGGCGATGACGAGATGAAGAAAGCCGTACAAGATCGGCCCGAGACAATAAGAGTAAATTTTCTTGATTAACAAATATAAAAGAGGATACAACAATGGTTTCATTTCCAATTAACGGTATTTATCTCTCGCTAGTTTCGTATTTTATTTTTCTCTTCTATACTTCAATGCGGATTGAGATATGCGACTGACAACGAGTGAAAGAAATTAAATTATCGAATGTGAAATATTAGTAACATAAAAATACAATTCGCTTCGTTTCTATTTGTAGAACTAATCATTTTAAATTCATTCGTAAAACTTGTGTCCGCGACGAGAACACGTTAATTGCATTTTCGTCAAGTTTTCGCGGCGCAGGTTACAATGTCGGGCCGCAATTTGGAAACGGCGTCTGCAGTTGACGATTGCACGGCGCGGTCGATACGTCGCGAATCACGAGTTATCATTAGTAATTAAGTTTCAGTTTCAATTGATCGATCTCCGACCGAGAAGGCGTTCACTCGCTCGCGCTGGCTCGCAAACCGCGGCGCGCGTTTGCGCGAGAAACGTCCAGCGGCAAATCGACCCGCGAAAAAACGGACCAATAGACGGAAGGAGGCAAGTCGCAGGTCTGGCTTCGGGTATTTATACCCCGACATATGATTAATATTTACTGTTCTCATATTCACCCAGCCAGCCGCTTGCAAATGCATCATTATCTTAGCCTCATTCTAATTTCACTACGTCTTATTATTACGGAATCGAAACGGTTTTTGCTCAGACGAGACCGTAGCCGCACGTAACGTGTAACACATATAAAACGTGTCATGCACCGACATATAAATAAATTCCGTTGTATTTCTTCGCGTACGCTCCACCTTTGCCATGCGCCAAAACACGAAGTAAACTTGAAACCTGAAAGAAATCGACCACCCTGGAGACGTGGCTTCTCAATTTGGACTTGGAGGTACGTCTGCACTGAGAAAAATGCTTTGATTGCGTCAACAATACACGCACGACAGAACGTATCTTGGTCAAACCAAACGGAATTTCTAGCTATCGCGATAGGGCTCGACATTTCATAACCAGAAGTCATGACAGACTGTGCAGGTAGCGAATCCTAAAGGAATTCTGATTCGTCTAACAGACGACTGGTGGAGTCTACCAGATTTCTAATTAACGCAATCAGATTTCTGTTTCTCGGCACGGGTGAATTTTCTCAGCTCAGGTTCATAACGGGATGGACCGCGGAGCGTTAAAACTGTTGTTGGCCCGAGAGTGCTCCGCGCTGCTCCGATTCTCAGGCGAGACCGTCGCGCCTGTCGCCAGCGGCACCCCGCGGATACCCGGCCCTGGTGGGACGGGTCGGGCGGCAGCGTCGGCGACGCTCGCGTCGAGGCGCTCTCGTGGTACGGGCCGGTCGGTCGGCCTCAGTGATCTGCACGATGCCGCCGTGATCGTACGGCACCGTACAGTTCCTGGCGACACGCGGCACGCATCACGTGGCACCACACACACCGCGTACGCGGCGCTCCTGCCTCCTGCGGCGCGCGGCCACGTCCGACGTCCCTCGCACCGACGCGCTCCGTCCGACCCGGGGGAGAAACGACGCCCGCCGACGACGCCCGCGCGCGACAACAAATGCGTCAGTGATCCCGCCGACGGATATATGCCCGGAGAAGGTATACACCACGCGACGATCGACCTGGAGACGGATCTCCCCGGTGGTATCGCAGCCCCCGCGCGCGCAAATCCCAGGATTAGAAAGGCCACCCGCTGACCCCGTGAACCCGTTACACAGCTCTGTACACGACCGGGTTTTTTTTTCGTCCCCCCCGAGAACGCGAGACCAACCCGGCCGTCGTCCAGGAAGCCGCCGCGTCACGAGGACACAAAGATACGCTAACGTAACGTCGAGTTCGCGTGTACCGCGAACGGTAATTAGACCGAGGTGAAAATTATCGCGACGGCTCCGTGATTGTTCCGTAGCGAACCTGGGACTCCGGCGTATGACGTGAGACGCGGTATCGCGAGAACCGCAGATTCATTCCTCGCCCGAAATCTCGTGCCGCTGTTATCAATCGTGATTAATCAGATTTTTCTTCCTCCGTCGTTTATTATTGCCGGTAAAATCACAGAGGGATCGAGTGGTCGGACCAGTTAGAATTTATCGCTGATGAAACTCGGTCTAAAGCTGACAATCTCAAACGATTGACCGTAATTCACTCACTGTCCTCCGACTTTTGAAGAGGAACGGGAGTCAAGTTGCACCGATAAACGCGGATTAATTAACTAGCAAATTAGATATTCCCGCTATCTCTTTGCGCAGGATAGACCTGCCCGTGATAGATACAGACGCGGAGGAAGAAATGAACTGATCGAGTCAATGTTAACTGACACAACCGGCCTGCTTGAATTAAGGTCAAAATTAATTGACTTCAGAAAGAGCGAAATCTTATCTGCCGCTTTGATTCCCCCCTAACATGTCTCCCGCGGTAACTTGTCGTCGACGATTATAAATTCAAGGCCACGTCTAATAAACCGATCCTTGAAAAAGAACAATTGCAAAAGTAGTTCCCGACGTTTCTGCAAAATGCATGCGACCGTGCTTCCTCCTTTATTATTCAATCTATCGCCAGGTATTTACCAGGTCACAATATTCGTGACTAATGCAATTTATTGGCGATATGTTGTCTAGCCACCGCCTACGTACGAGTCCGCTTCACGCGCAAATATTATCCCGATCTTTCACTTAAAATATGCGTCGCGATTATTTGCACCGAGCGAAGACTCTGCTCTTTGATAAGTTTAACAATGCCTGTCCGTGATTCTATAATTTAACAAGGGAATTTAACGTCGGTTCAGTTTTCCTAGAAGCAGCAGCTTGGTCTGATCTCGAGTTACTTATCTCTCCTCGAAATCGTTATCTCTTGTTGACAAAATTTGAATCGGATGATAAAGGACTAATGCCTGAGCCAACATCTATCGCTATCACATGCTCCGACGTTAAGTTCTTATCCCGTGTGCACAGTGCAAATGTAATGTCGCGAATCAACGGTTCCACGCGCGTCGAGATCAAAGATCGTTCCCACAGGGAACCGCGTCTCCCATCGCGGATCCCACGGAAAACACAAGTCACCTGCACACAGAATCGCCCCAGGCTTATGTAATCTAATGAAATCCCGGCGCTAGTATAGATCCATTTCGCACTATATTGCACGAAGATGACCTATGCGCGAACAAGACAAATTCCGTTTACGTTCGTTCACGCTAGTATCGCGCGAGGAACTTTTCGCCGATGTGGCTCGCGATTTCTCGTTGTGTTACATACGTTATTACCATTTTCACGTTTTTATCGCGTGCGCATTTGTTCGTTACAAAAATAAAATGAACCGTTTATCCGACCGTTTAGGCAACGCGTGCGACAAATACTATTAGGCAACGTACAATTAATTTTTCCGCGACGACAGCGAGGCAGGAAAAGCGCATTTTACCGATTGCATCGGGCCTACGGTGAAGAATAGAGTTACGTAAGGATTATGTGACTGCAGATGAATGGCACAATAGATTATCCGAACGGTATGAAACGGAAAGAAGTCATTTTTGCTTTAGACCGATCGAACTGATACCGGTGGTTATGATATGACAACATCGACGGGTTTATTATGTGTAAAATAGACGTAGGAAGTACCATACACTGAGAAAAATGCTTTGATTGTATCAGCGTGGCACGTACGATAGAGTGTATTTTGGTTAAACCGAGAGGGAATCCACCGAGGGCGTTGTGGTGCACAGATTTGCGGCATTACTGGGCATTTTTTGGGCATTAGTTTGGACATTAGGCCTTGCTGGGGCATCACGAAGATAAAATAAGATAATAAGATAAAGCAATGCCCGCTGGGCATTAGTGGGCATTGGTGTACAAGATTTTGGTCAGCGGTTTCCCCCTCGGGTTAAACCAAACAGAGTTTCGAGTTAGCGCGATAGGGCTCGATATTTCATAGCCAGAAGTTTGCTAGACTTTACTTTACATCTGGTAAATCCTGAAGGAATTCTGATTCGTGCATTTTCTAACAGACGACTGGTGGAATCTACCAGATTTCTAATCAATGCAACCAGAGTTGTTTTTTTCGGTGTAGTATTTTATCTGCAGCGCCGACAAATACTGCTACTAGGAGCCGAAACTTATATCGCTGAAACACGCTTATTTTATAAAGCCCGGCGGAATTCGATCGTACGTACTTTTTGCGCAACACTCCCGCGAAAAAGCACGCCCTACTAAATCCTTTTCGCAACTGTGCAATTTTTCTTTCCGGCTCTTTTTACCCGTCAGGCGCAACGCGAGCAATACATCAGCGCGAAACTTGTTCCGCGAACAGCGAGATTTATGTAGCCTACACTCCGCTTTATTCGATAATTAAACATCACCCTGCGATTATCCTCCCAACGAAAGACCTTGTTTCATAAAACGCCAGCGATAATTACATTTCATTGTGAAGCAGATTATTACGACGGGAGTCGAGAACTGCAGTTTTTCATTACCGTTCAAGATCTCATTTTTCTAAACCTCTTCCCCCCTCATCGCCCAGGCCGTTTATCCTTGATACACGTTTCTACTGCGCATGAAATAGCCCGAGCTTTCCTCAATGACTAATCCGCCTGCTCCTAGATAATACTACGACGCTTCGCATTGTAATGCAGTCCGCGTAACCCGACGGACGGAACACAATGACGAATCCGGACGAACCTGCCGTTCGACGCGCAAGCCCAGACACACGATTATTGTCTAACAGCGACCCGAGAAAGTCAACTAGCAAACGGGATCCATCCACATTACCGCCGGCATACTGACCGTGAGAATTTCTGCAGCGCGCGAATGCTTATCACGTGGATGCGGTCACATTTCCGCGACTCCACGGCTGCTTGGCGCGCGCGAGTACCCGCGATCTCGATACACGGACGAACGCATACCGGGGCACCGGGAAATGCGAAACTGATTACCCATTCCATCGGGCTGGCGCGCCTCCTTCTCACGCCGTCTGTGCCATTCCGCGAATAAACACGGTGCTCTTGTGCCTCCTACAATCCTCTTCGCCGGTCCAATTATTGCACCGCCTGAATCATCGACTCATGCCGCTACGCGTGTTACGCGTCTCGATACGATGTCTTAATACACGAGCTACGAAACTAAATAGTACCGCAGAAAGCGCTTGTGTGTTTGAGAAAAATAATTTCAACGCTTTCTTTTTCTCTCGGCCGAGTACAGATGTTGTAAAGTTTTAGTGGACTGAAATGTCAGTGGAACGAACGTTCACTCGTCGCAGGGCGCGTCTTACAGGGAAACACTCTCAAGTAAATCTCGTAATAATGCCAAACCCAGAAAAAGATTTATTTAAGTTAAACCGAGGGGTAAACCGCTGAGGGTATTGTGGTGCACAGATGTGCGGCATTACTGGGCATTACTAGGCATTTTTGGGCATTAGTTTGGGCATTAGGCCTTGCTGGGGCATTATAAAGATAAAATAAGATGATGAGATAAAGTAATGCCCACTGGGCATTAGTGGGCATTGGTGTACATGCACCGGCATAAATGCTGTCCCTATCCTTGTGAGGTGCACGCACACAACTAGAGTCCCTGTAGTTGTGTGCGTGCACCTCACAAGGATAGGGACAGCATTTATGCCGGTGCGTGTACAAGATTTTGCTCAGCGGTTTTCCCGTCGGTTTGGGCATTAAGGCCTTGCTGGGACATTACAAAGATAAAATAAGATAATAAGATAAAGTAATGCCCACTGGGCATTAGTGGGCATTGGTGTACAAGATTTTGCTCAGCGGTTTCCCCCTCGGGTTAAGCGAACGAAATCCGTTGAAACCACGTTTTCTTTGAACCTACCAAATTTGCATTCACTTGTACTAAATTGCTAGGTTTTAAATTGCTAGGCATTTGCTAGGTTTGATGAAATAGATATGAATTCTCTTAGAGATTCCAGGTCTCAATCGAATAAAATTTTGGTTACGGTAAAGAAATCATCTCTTTGCAATTAAATAAAAGTCTACTACACTGAGAGAAAAAAGTCGATATACTCAGAAACAAACGTTACTTATGACATTTTCTTCGATATTTATTGGTTATAAAGAAATTTGGCTGTGGCAACAGAATATACATTTCTGTAAAGTATATATAATTTTTCTACTTACTTGTTAAAAAAATTTAATTTAATTCTTGCTCAGAAAATTTATTTATTTGTGGCAAATTTATGTTTTTTATAGCAATATTATATTTAGTTACAAGAAGATAATTTGTATAGATATGCCACATTTATTTCCAAAGATTAAATTTATTTCTTAGAAACAAATGACAATTTCGCTGGATCAAAATTTACTTCTAGTTGATTCACGTTGCATCATGCAATATGGCGGATCGTGCTAAAGGACGCCACAACGGTTCGTTGCAAATAAATAACTCATTTCAAGGAAACAAACAATTTTTTGTAATAAATAATACTTATTTAAAAAATAAAATAAATTGTTTATTTGCTAGAAATAAAATTTTATTTCGCCATATTTAAATAAGAGATTTATTTCAGTGAAATAAACTTTATGTGCCACAAATAAATTTTCAAAGTCTTTTTTCTCAGTGTAAGGTAGAAATTCAAACAAACTCTTTTCTGGGTGTATAGCTTTCGGGTTATTACGAGATTTACACTTGGGAGTGTGCTCCCCTGGTGGCTGCCTCCCCACGTGGGCGTTGGAACGAAACGTAACGGAGAATCGCTTACGAAAAATCTAAAAGAAGATTATAATGGATCGAACTGTCAAATCGAACGTCAAGACACGTGTCGACGCGCGGATGTAACAGTATATTTGTCATGACGTCGCGCCACACGCTTCCTGGTCAACCGCGCGTGCCACAATATCTGGGAAAAAAAATCGCGCGGCCAAATTCTATCTCGTCCCCCACCTCGTCGCGAGAGGAAAGATTATTCGCCGAATTTAAAACGGCGTTGCCCCGTTTAAAACGAGCGACACGTCGTCTGGCACGAGGGCCACAAATTACGGAGCGCTGAACGCCAAGTAATTTCTGATCGAGGCACAATACCCGAGGCTGCGATATCTCCTAACGCGTTTACGTCCGCATTCACGGAACGGCTCGTTTATCACCCAATCTCGAGTGTTAACGAGATTCGAAGTATCGGTGTCGCGTGCGATCGACAGACAATGCAATTAACGTAATGGCCCCGCGGTAGACCCGCGGCACGGCGATTAATTACGGCGATTCATTACTTAGGAGATAGCCGTGTGGCATGAAATGCTCTGAACGTGTTTCAGTCCGATATGAGTACAGGCGGAAACACGTTCTCCGGGAGAAGATGACCCCACGTCGTCGCGTCTTGGCAGGAATTCGCCGTGCTATTTTTGCCGCTGGTGTCCTGGCGCTCGTCGTCCTGGTACTGTCGGGCCAGGATGGCACCAACACCCTGCAGCACGGCAATTCGCTGGAGGTGAGTCATATATATATATATATCTCTCTCTCTCGCGGAGGTTTTGTATCTCGCGTGCTCCTCAGCGTGCCCTAAAAATGCGCCCTGCACTGTTTCGGACAATTCGAGCACAATTTATGAAGCCCAAATGCCCGATCCACCGGCGTGGATCGCGTTTAACATTAGCACGGTGTTTCATTAGCGTTCTAGTTTCAGCAGCATTCTCCAGAGTCGCTTAAGGTCTCGCATTCAAGCTGTACAATCGAACCCGCATCCATTTACAGCGTTACGCCAGGAAAATCGCAAACACCGATCAATGTACGATCTAAATTTTCATTCTGCCGATATTATTCCGCGCTGCGCTCCAGTTCCAAGCTGTCTTTCATTTAACCGAACGTTTATCCCTATTAAACGTGCCTGCCATAAATGTGCTATTTCGAGAAGGCACGTTACACGTTCCCGAAGACGAAAGTTCGCGTGAAAAAAAAATGTTGATTCTGAGGGAACGCAGAGTTCCGCGCCGGCTTCCCCCCCGATTCCTAGGAGACCGAGAGCCGCTTGCCTTACGTAAAGCACAACGACCATAGATTGGCACATTTCCAGGCGCAATGCGGTACGGTGGATCAGTGCCCCTGATATGGCTCATTTAAATGTCCGAAAAGGTAGTCAGTTACTTCTAATCGTAATCATGTCGCGATTATCGGGAACGAATGTATGCCCATTAGATCTTTCGACTTGCGATCTATCAAACAATTACATAAGCGCACACGTACGTTTCAACGGGAAATATGTCATCGATCTGAGTAACAAGTTTTTCGGTATATCGAATAAATTTCAGGTGGTCCTAGAAAAAAGGATACTCCGCTAAGAGGAAAATTTTGTAAAAGTAAGAAGTTTATCGACGTAAGACGTAACAAAAGATTTCGAACAAGAAAAAATCTGAAACGTAACGTTGCAGTCTCGAGATTTTGTGCAATCTGAAAATATTTTTGCACCGCATAGTGCAACGCTTTTGCAGATAATCGATCTAATTATTTTTTTTCAAGGAACGCCCTTTATTAACAAGTAGATCACAATAAAACGAGAAAAGAAATATAAATATTAAGCCGAAAGAAAGCGTTACATTTCACGGGATAGGCGAGATTATCCGATTCAGATAACGTGTAACACCGAAAGGGTTTCTACGTGTCGGGACATTCGCATGATAAGTTACGCTCATCACACACGCGCAACACTCCATATTTTTGCTGTGAACTCTCGGGCGCATAAACCGGAAAGTCACGCGTTGGGTGAAATTAATACTAACAGAATCGCGAGATAAAAGCTTGTATTGCATAAAATGTCTTTAAAAAAACAAAACGACATATAATTGTCTTTATTAACAAAGTTACTCTCTCGCGGAGCGATAAAAATCGAATCAGAGCGTAGAACGTAGCGTTTTCGCGATCGGAGAGATGTAAAAACTCGAATGCGAATTGAAGTTCATCGGAAATGGAAGAAAAAACAGCGATAGAGAGCCAGGGGTAGCAAAAAACAAACGTACAATTTTCCCCGGCGCTTGAATAAGAGAGACATTTTTATCCGAAAGACATTAATCGCTCGTTGCACCTTGATGCGCCGAGTGAAAATGCAATAACGGCGAAAAATAATTACAAAATAGCGGAGAGAGAGAGAGGGGAAAAAATGCGGCCGCGTCACGTGATATCGTAACTAAGGAAACGTTGTTGTAAGGAAGTACTCGAGTATCCGCAAGCGCCCGCTACTTCTCGAGGCAAGAGAGGTAAAGTGCTCGGGGTCGTCGCGACACGCGAATATCTAATTGCAGGAAAAGCCGCCGAACCGGGACCTGTCTTGTCGTTGAACAACACGGCGCCCACTTAACGTAAATAACGCACAAGTACGGCAGAAAAATAGCGGGCGATACGCGCGCCCTAACGCCTCGCGGGAGGCTGGCGTGGCACGTGCATGCACGATGCGCCAGAGTGCATAAACGTGCGCGATGCGCCACCACCCTCCCCGTGGCCCACATTCGTCGCCGCACAAGGCGCGTTCCACATCGAAATCAATAAGCGGAAGCCGGTAGTTCTGCATTCGGTTTTGCCAGCCTGCCGCGCCACAATGCGATATCGACGCCGACTTTCCGAGCGAGGCCTGGCCGTAAGACCGAGGGAAGAGATCGCGATCTTTAACGCCTCTCTGTCTCTCCCTTTCCCCCCCGTTTAAGGTCACTCCCCGCGGAGTTTCAGCACGACCGCGATCAGTTTGTAGCGATCTAAATTACTAATCCTTGCGATCCCCCAGGGGCTGTGACGCAAGACACCTGTAATTCCGTAATTACCGGTGTTTTATAATTGGCGAGAGACTTCGTGACGCTTTTAGCGAGAAAACTGTCCCGCGGAAATTTTTATGTAAACGCGAACGGGCGTCACGCAATAAAGCTATCGATAATGAGGATACGTAAATCGAAGGGTGTTATCGTTCTTGGGCGTCTCGGTTGCCAATTTCCCGAAATTGCAGATGATTCATGAAATCGTAGAAGTGTACCCGTCTTATTTGAGACACGGACTCACCGAACGCTTCTCCCAATATAGTACGCAAAATTTGCCTCTCGCAGCCCGTTCTGCACACATGTATTTGTTTGTATTTATCGCCCGTAAGCATACATGACGTTTACCTACGAGTAGCATTTAAACTAACTTCCATTAATTAACCGCTGATATCAGAAATTCGTACGATAATTAACCCAAGTGTCCCCGAATCTTTTGCAAGACGACGCTTTTGATCCTGAGAATTTTTCGTTTCTGCAGATCAGTCAATTCTAGAAAAACGCAGATACTTGATATCAACGTTATGGAAAATACAATGGAAAAAACCGCGAATGTTCTTGTGTACACGGAGAATTTTCTCTTAAAATTTACCTTGAAAGTCGTGTGATGGTGAAACAACATGGCATTTTGAAGAACTTTTTGAGTTTTTTTTAATTTTATCACACATTTTACTGGTAAGTACAATTACTAGTAAATTGTATGGTAAAATTTCCATAAAATTCTTGGAAATGCCACGTTGTCCCACGATCACATGATTTTCAAGATAAATTTTAAGGGAAAATTCTCTCCGTGCAGAAGGACGATGGGCAAATCTAGGTTAATTCTTTTCCTTGAGAAATTAAATATACACACAAAGCACTTTATTATACCGGAAGCGTGAGATATAGTTAGAAAAATAATGCACTCTTAAGTGACATGATCTCCAATTTAAATGCAAATATGTACCGTACACCCAGGTCAAAGTTCGTTTGAAATCAACTAAATTTGTTTGATTTTTGACCTTACTAGACTTTTATTTCATTTTCAGAGAAATGATTCCTTTATCTTAACCAAAATTTTATTCGACTGAGGCTGGAAATTCTAAGAGAATTCATATCTATTTTTTCGAATCTAGCAGATATTTTAGTAAATAAAAATTTTATAGATTCAAAGATGCATGTCCAAATAAATTTGTTTGAATTTTGACCTTACTAGACTGTTATTTCATTTCAAAGAAATGATTCCTTTACCTTAAGCAAAATTTTATTCGACTGAGGCTGGAAATTCTAAGAGAATATCTATTTCTTCAAATCTAGCAAAGGTTTTAGTAAATAAAAATTTTGTAGATTCAAAGGTACGCGATTTCACCGTGTCCCGTTTGTTTAACCTAAATCAATCCTTTTTTCTAGGTGTACACTAGGAATCGCTGATGCCTTCCCAGATGAATTTAGGCACACGTAGAACACATATGCATTTTTCATGTACGTATATGCAAAATGTGTAGACGCGTGCACAAATTCGTGCGGGAAGGCGTCGGCGATTCCTAGCGTACACTCGCCAAGACCGCGTTCGGCGCGACGCAGCGCCTATTCGGCAAACGCCCGGGCACGTGTTTAAATTCTAATTGCAGAAATTAGGAAATTGAATTAACCTTACGAGCCGCGGGGAAGGTCAATATACGTGGGTCGCAGTCGCGGTCTTGACGGGAAGATTCGCGCTGCGATTCGCGCACATGGACTCTTCGGGCTGGATCGATGATCCGACCCTCTAACTTTTCGCGTGTGCACAATTCCAGCCGCCGGATTACCGCTATAGTTATCCCTCATTATCTCATAATTACCCGCGTTCTCATTATCTCGTAATTACCCGCGTTATAATTGAGTGCTGTTAGTTCCACGTATCGATCGCGAGGGGGATTACATCCATTCATAATTCCGTTCGGCGCACGTTGCAATTATAAACAAATCTCCCCTCCCCCCCCCCTCCCTCCCTCCCCCCCCCGATTTCCATAAAGCGGATAACGCGATAATCAAACGTACGCGCACAATCGCCGTAAATGATAATGGAGAATAATAGCTGGTGGAGTTAATGATCAAAGTGTCATGCGCGAAACGAGCCCGCGCGCGCCTCTCATTCTCGTCATTTGTCATCGAGGACGTTATCTTATAAAGAATGCGCGAAACGACCGAGCAAGTAATCACCGATACGTTTCGTATTTCACGCGACACACACACACACACACACACACACACACACACACACACATATATCGTGACTCTTACGTCAGTGTCCAATTCATAATTCAGGAGCACCAGGCTCGGTTTATATAGTTCATTGGAATAGTCTTCGGTATACCAGCCGTCCTCTAACTATTAATTCAGGTCAAGTTAACGATGAATGGCAGCCGTGACATTTCCCCGACACTCCGTAATTTTAAGGCGTCTTAATTAATGGCGCGAGGCGACATTGTTAAACGGCGGAATAACATTGCTGCCGTAATACGGGGGTATCGATTCGCGTCCCTTCGCGTTAGCGTTGAAGCCTCACGAATCGAAGACTTGTCGTACGTTTTGGCAGGACGCGAATCTGACGCCGGAGGAGAAAATATTGGAGCAGATCACGACGGCGGAAACCGAGCAACGTCTGACGACCAGGCGGAAATTTCTGGCGGAGAAGTGCGCCGAGGAGGGACTCGATCGTCCTGGCAACGACTCGCTTCACAGGCCGAACGCCTGGGAGTTTCTTGTAAATAGGGAATACCACCTTATATGGTGCAACGTATTCAAAGCAGCGTCCACGTCGTGGATGTACAATTTTAATTTACTCGCGGGGTAAGTCGCATCTTGGAGTAATGGCGAATCCGGTTGCTCGCACTTGTGCGCCTTGAAATATTTCTTAGCCAGTAAATTGAAGTCGCATCTCGGCTAATTAATGGCGACTTCGGACGCCTACACTAGCGCGCACTGAGCGCACACCAAGGCTTGTTTACAGTCAATTCTCATATTTAAGGATCGTCTTAAATATCTGCTGCAATATTTTTAGCCTATAAAATGACCTATGCAGCATCCATACAAATCGGTTTTTTCTTTTGCTAAATATTCTTTGAACGTGTATCTAAGACAAGTTGAATATAAGAATTCAACAAGCCTTAGAGCGCACTAGTGCAAGCAACCGAATTTGCTATCAACCTCGCGAAGCCAACAAGGACGAACGCGACGGAAATTAAGTCTCTAATCGCTGCAGTTTATCGCTGCAGTTTGCAAAGTGGAAGATAGTAAAAAAGATAATGTTGCACGTAAATAATACAAATATTATAATTGCTACCTGAACTCGCGTAAAGAGTCTTTATTCCTTCTATTTTCTAACCTAACGCCATCGACTTGCTATTGATCGCACCATTGATAATCAGGAATGATGAGTCATCAATGAATAACCGTTATTGGGCTAACTTTGCAGGTACAGCCCGCAATTTCTGAAAGCCTCTAAAGCAGTGCCGGTCTCGCTAGCGAGACAGAGATATCCCAGACACAGCGCGGAGGAGCTGGCTAAATATCTCAACGACAGCATCAGCTTTTTGATAGTGCGGCATCCCTTCGAAAGACTGCTCAGCGCCTATCGGGACAAGTTGGAGCACAGTCTGCCGCACACATTTCACAGCAACCTCGGTGCACACATAGTTTGGCACTACAGGGCGAGGGTAACGTCTCTCAAATCTTTATAGATAATAACCCAGGCATATATCAGACAAATCGTTGCTAATCCCGTCGAATTGTACGCGAGGAGAATTTTCTCTTAAAATTTACCCGGAAAATCGTGTAATCGTAATGTAAAATTTCCAATTTGTATTTAAACCGACGACTTCGATCGACAAGATCACTCGTGTCGTGCGAGGGATTTTAAAATGGATCTGCCGTTAAATACAGGATTCGAAGACGACTACGAGACAAGGGCCGAGATACCCGCTCTTCGAGGAATTCGTGCGATGGCTGTTATGCCAGTGGAGGGCGGGAAACGAACTCGACATGCACTGGACACCGGTTGTTAACTTCTGCACACCCTGCCAAGTGCGATTCGACGTGATAGCTAAATTCGAGACGCTGCACGTAAGTGGATTTACTTATCGGCTTCCTCGACTCAATCTCGGCGTACGAGCCGGCAGTAAGCAATTCTCGATTGCGTTTGAAAAGTATCCAGAATAGAACGAACCAAATGCACCTCGCCGAATCGATCGAGAGTAATCGTTTTGAAACTGTCTCTTTCTTGTTCAAGGACGACCAAGACTATCTCATAAAGCAAGCTCGCGTGGGGCACATCATCAAACCCGAGTGGAAAAATCCTACTAAAGGCGTCCAAACGAAAGACGTTATAAAAAATTATTTCACGCAGTTATCCAAGACGCAGATCGAGGAGCTCTACGAGATGTTCAGGTGACGTACCTTCGCGGAAACAATCGTGAGATCCACGCGCAGAAGATACGATGGTGCACGCACGATCACGCGTGGGACAGTGTGAAATGTTAAATTATCTTACACAGTAAAAAAAAATGTTATGTAAAATTACAGTTATTACAGTGGGTAATAATGGAGCCATATATTAAAGGTGTATATTTATGTACATTAGTAAATTTACACCTTGTAGGTAAAATTATTACCTTATGTAATAAGTTAACTGCTTGCTGATTGATTGTCAAGACAATTCAAAAGGACTGTGTCCAAGTTCTGGTCCCGAAAAATGTGTAGATAATCAACTTGCAGCTTTTATGGAACAGCTGCAAGTTGATTGGCTACACATTTTTTGGAACTAGAACTTTGACACAGTTTTTGGATCGTGGACACAAAGCTTTAAAGACCTGTGTCCACGATGCTAGAACTTGGTCCAAGTTCTAGTTCCGAGAAATGCAGGATATTGAAGATAACCAAAGTGAAGAAACAGAATACAGACCACACTTAAGCCTAATCTACAATGCGCTCTTTGCATTTAGAAACATCCTATTTTGTAGACAATAAATATGTTAAAAAAATTTTTGCAAGTTGATAAATTGTATATTATACATTGTACAATTGTACATTGTCGACAAAGTTTTTAAGCGTTTTGATTTGCTGATATAAAATAGAATGTTTCTAGACGCAAAGAGCACATTGTAGATTAGGCTATACATGTTGTATTACATAACGTGTGGTTTTGCTTTCTATCGTTAATCAACTACTGGCGACAATATTTTTCTTGTTACACATTTCCATTATTGATATGCACCTATTATGTAACTTTACGTACATCTTCTACAGTGTATCTTTACGATTCGCAGGTATGACTTCGTGCTCTTCGATTATTCGCCAGAGGAGTACTTGGCGTTCGGCAGGGACGAGATCACTACGCTAACGTGCAAAAAGTGATCCCGGCGTCTCTCGTCTACGCTCGGGACGTGTGCGAGAATCGTGCGAGATGGAACGAGTCGTGTGACACACAACGAAACCGTAGCTAGCGCTTAAATGAATTCGGAGGGGCAGCAAGTATGATACTCGATATGTATATAGCGGCATATTTCTTATGTCGGGACTTGGAAAAGTGGAGGACCGTGTCCAGGATTTTGTAACTTGCATATATAAACTGCGTTGTCATATTGAACATTTTGATAGTGCATATGTTAAAGTTTATCGAATTGTTATACCGAATCGGAGGACGAGGACACGATGGGAGATTTATGATAAATAACGTCTCGCAGATATGAACGTACAGTTCGTTGCTTGCGTACTTAAAAACTGTTAAACTGAATTTTTACAAATTTACGGCTTGGAAGGAAGCTTTCTGATCATTCGAAACTCTCGCTCTCTCTTTCTCTCTCTCTCAATTATCTTCCGTTTTATTGACGTACGATCTAGATTGCGTTAGATCCCGTTAGTACTAAAGGTTTGCTTCCAGCGGAAGTGCAATAAGAGCAATTCACTTAAGAGAAAAATCTAGATAGATTGAAAGAATTTTAGTATCGCGACGCGCGCGTGATTGGAGAGAATTTGTGATAGCCTCAGTTTTGCGCGATGCAACAAGCGTAATCTAAGTACACCACCGAAGTTGTCCCCGACGGCTGCACAATAATCTTTGTAAGCATAAATGTAGCATCACCGTAACGATGGTAAATAGTACTGCCTCAAGGAAACATGGTGCAAAATATTAAGGTAACTAACTTGTCACAGCAACATCACTTTAAGATGCAAACACTTTTGTAGAGAGTTACGTTGTCCCGAGAAATGACGAAGACGATGCACTTCCGAGTAAGGCATCGAGTCAATCAGCAGCTATATTTGCATACGTTTCACCGCAGTAGAGTTCGGTATCGAGATAATTGGACATTTAAGTATCCAGCGAAATGAATATTTTGTCCGCGTGATCGATCGACAATTGTATTTGAATAAAAGGTATCTCGGCGTTGCGAATTTCTATACTCGCAAAGTAAACCACGCCGTTGAATAAAGAGTCATTTATACGATATTCTGTGTGTGGTGACCCTTCGCATCAATCTCCTACAGTTTTGCAGCTATAAATATACGTGGTATCCGACTCGACGTTGTGCCGCTCGATATCAGAGATTGGGAACAACATAACGAACTGACGAGCGACTCACCAACAAGATCTGTTGACCAGTTCCACTCCGATAATCCACTTATTCTGGAGTACGCACTGCCACTGCGAGATCAGCTCCAAAACCTTCTCCCTGCTGCTGGTCCTGCTGTGTCTCTGTCTCTTAATCACGGGTTCTCCTTCAGCGGTGTACAACTGTAACACCAAATATATCATAATATCATAATCAAATATTGCATGTACAGCAGTGGATAGAATGGTTGCGACACTTTTTTTTAAATAAGTTTTGGAACATGCATTTAGATTGAGAGTTACGTTTCAAGATCTTCTTCTCTATTCCATAAAAGCTGCAAGTTGATTGGCTACATATTTCTCGGAACTAGAACTTGGGCCAAGTCCTAGTATCGTGGACACAGGTCTTTAAAGGCCTGTGTCCATGATGCTAGGACTTGGTCCAAGTTCTAGTTTTGAGAAATGTGTAGCCAATCAACTTGCAGCTCTTCCGTAAGAGATACAAGTTGATTGGCTACACATTTTTCAAAACTAGAACTGTGTCCAACTTCCAGTTCCGAAAAATGTATAGTCAATCAACTTGCAACTATTCCCTTAAAGTTGCAAGTTAATTGGCTACATACTTCTCGGAACTAGAACTTGGGCCAAGTTCTAGCATCATGGACACAGGTCTTTAAAGCTTTGTGTCCAAGTTCCGAAAACTGTGTAGCCAGTCAACTTGCAGCTATATATTTAAAGGCCTGTATCCACGATGCTAGAACTTGGTCCAAGTTCTAGCATCGTGGACACAGGCCTTTAAAGCCTTCTGTCCACGATCCAAGAACTGTGTCCAAGTTCAAGTTCCAAGAAATGCGTAGGCAATCAACTTGCAGCTTCTCCATAAGATACAGATTGATTGGTTGCACATTTCATGGAACTAGAACCTGGACACAGTTCTTGAATCGTG